AGGAAGAGAGAGAGAGAGAGAGAGAGAGAGAGAGAGAGAGAGAGAGAGAGAGAGAGAGAGATATGCGTATGAAGGCCAAAGGACAAGTTTGGCTGTGGTTCCTCAGGGGCCATCCACCTGGTTTCTTTGAGACAGGATTTCTCACTGGCCTGGGGCTCACCAAGTAGTCTTGGCTGACTGGCCAGACAGTGGGCCATAGGGACCTTCATCTCTCTACTTTCTCAATGCTTTGTTACAAGCACATGGCACCACGGATAGCTTTTTGCGTGGTTATTCATGTTTGCATAGCAAGTGTTCACCAACTGAGCTCTCTCTTTAGGCCTACGAGGACTCCCTTTATGAGATCTCTTTCTCAGCACCGAGGAGAGACTGCTGGGGACTTGAGGTCAGTCAATGCTCATTAATAAATAGGGCATTGAGCTGGAGAGATGAGTTGTATCCCAGCTATGAGATAGTACTGACAGCTGCTCAGCCACTTCATGGGGCTGTCCCAAAGGGGGGGGCGGTGAGAAAAAGGGAAAAGATCTCAAGAGATGATCAAATCAACGAAAGGCATCCCAGGGAAGGTCTCTGCAAACTCACATGTTTCTCTTGGCTCCTGTGAAAACTTACACCCCTTCTCCCAGAACACCCTTCTAACTTTCATTGTCTGGCTCCTACCCACCCCACCCCCCAGCACAGGCTGGAGACAGACTCTCCAGCTGGCAGCAATTTCAGTCAAATCAAGAACCATAGACATCTTTACTGAGGCCAGATCCCCATCTTAACCCTCTTCTGAATTTACCTTTTATCACTCTCTCTGGCTTAAAGGCTGTGGCGTCTTTATTCTCCATTCTAGCATGGTACCTCTTCACTTTTCATGAATCAAACTGAAGCATGGCTACTTTGTATGTAAAGGATGGATTTCCCATTACATGTCCAAGGTCCTGGTCAGAGCTCATCCACATCTACCATCTCCCTTCCAGTTGTTCCCAAGCTCCACTATTTCTCAGTTTTCTTTGTGATCTGGGTGTTCTTCCTATGCCTCAGAATCCTTCTGCTTGAGCATTCTAGTAGCCCCCAACATGCCCCCCAAACCAAGTCCAAAGCACTCATCCAATAGAGCTTTCCAAGTGCTGAGTTCAACAGGAACTACTTTACTCAGGACTGCTGTGGTGTCACTAATTTATCTCTCCATTGATGGGGAATGTCCTGTATGCTGTGAATATATGTTTCTCCTATTGGTTGATGAATAAAGCTGTTTTGGCCAATGGACAAGTGGGATGTAGCCAGGTAGGAAGTATAGGCAGGGCTACCAGACTAGGAGAATTCTGGGAAGAGGAACTCAGAGAGGGAGATGTCATGTAGCTGCCGAGAAAGAAAGAGGCCTAGGCATCACAAGGCCATGTGGGACACACAGATTAATAGAAATGGGTTAATAATTAAGAAAGAGAGCTATCCAATAAGAAGATTGAGCCATAGGCCAAACAGTTTATAATTAAGATAAGCCTATGTGTATTTTTTTTTGGAACTAAACAGCTGCTGGACTGGACAAGACAGAAACTTTTGTCTACACCCTATGCTGCCACCACCTTCTGGAAAGGCTGGCTCCTTTCTCTCAAACCTATGTTAATAACATTCTTCCATCTGAAATGTCCATCGTTTGCCTCCACCCCAATTCATTACCACTTTTTTTTTTCTGGCATCTTCTTATATGCTTGGGTAAGTCCTCCTCTGCAAGCTAAGGACACCCTAACCATTTTACTATGAAAATTATATTTATGGTCTCTAGTTTTGTTTGGGATGGCCCTAACCTAGCAGCTCTTGCTTTCAAGAAGTTTATAACCCCACTGGGGACACTCTACTGGTTCACATTTCTAACATCTATGGAGGCCACAGTTTACTTAAGTATTGTGGGAATGCTATACTGTAGGCAATTCTATGGTTTTCAGAAGCATCATGGAAGACTCTGAAGTACAGTTCAGGACACTATTTAGAAAATACATTCTGATTCTCAAGTGGTAACAGTAAAACTGTTCAAGTTGTTTAGACATGAAGAATGAAAAGAGAGAGGATTAAAAAAATTACTTTGGGGGGTGTGCTATCTAATTTCTCTTTGTTCTGAATACAAATTGGTTTGACTTTTACATAAAAGTCAAGCTAAAAGTGTGCATATGGTGCTGGGTGGT